AGGTTTTTCGACCTGGTGATGGCAGGTGAGAGAGTGGAAAGTGGAATTAAGTCTGGAAAAATTCCAAATGGTAGTGGATCCTTTTCGGGAGGAAAGAAGAAACCATATACAATAAACCCTAAGAAGAGGGAAGGGGATGCTAATTCTATTTCTCACAAGGGTAAAGGTAGAGTGCAATCTCAGTATCATCAGCAAGTTGCTACTGTAGCCATCCCGACTGCACCTCAGCAATAGGTTAATGCTCCACGACCATACGCTTGCAGACAGAGAATGAAGAACAAACAGTTTGAGACTCCACCAATGCCGTACTCATAATTGTTGCAACATCTGCTTCAATTGTAGCTTATTCAGAAGAGACTTTGGCACCTTTAACCGGAGCTCCTCCTCTTGGTTATGACGCCAATACGAGATGAAAATTCCATTCGGGCGCCCCAGGCCACAATATTGATAACTGTAAAGCCTTCAAGCACAAGGTTCAGGACTTGCTTGACTCAAAGGCTATTAACTTTACCAACGAGGGGCCTAATGTGAACCAAAACCTAATGCCAAATCATGGTGTCGCAAGGGCGAATGTTGTTATTGACAGAGAAATATTGAATTTGATAACTGATGTTGAGGATTTGAAGACTCCTTTGAGGTTCGTGAAAGAAAAGTTGTTGAAGGGGTGAGTATTCCCAGGATGTTCTACTGACTGTTCAGAATGTGAAGTGCAACCCGAGGGCTGTAGTCTGTTGAAGAACAGTGTATAGAGGATGATTGATGATGGTTATCTACAATTTGAAAGAGTTGTTAGGGAAGATGTTATTGATGGGGTTAGTAATGACGAAAGAGATATTGCCACAATTTCAATTCCTTACCGGATCATTAACATTTTAGCGCCTGCTAGGCCAGCGTCGGTGATCATTAATATTCCAGGACCCGTGCCGTATAAGAGCACCAAAGCCATCCCATGGAACTATAAGGCAAAAGTATTATGTAACGGGCATAAGAAAGAGTTGACTAGTTCATCATATGATGGTTCTACTGTTGAGAACATTGTGAGTGTAGGTGGCATCATTCAAAGCAGAAGAGTCTTTTCCCCTCCAGAGGCTAATACTGACAAGACGGGAAAAAGGAAAGAAGTGGTTGAGGAGAGTACGTAGCAACTGGCTGGTGGTGACAGTTCGTTCTCTAAAGATGCTGAGCAGTTTATGAGGCTTATTTGTGAAAGTGATTAAAAGATTGTGGATCACTTGAATTAAACCCCCTCAAAGATTCCCATTTTGTCTTTGTTGTTGTGTTCTGAGGCACACAAAAATGCTTTGTTGAAGATCTTGAATCCAGCTTATCTACCGCAGGAAATTTCAGTTAACCAATTAGAAGGAGTTGTGGCACACATCAACGCTGGCAATGGTTTAGGTTTCACTAACTTGGATTTGACTCCTGCTAGGAGAAATCACAACCTGGATTTGCATATTCATGTTCGTGTTCATGTTCATATTTAGGGTTCACATAAACGCGTAAATTTTGGTTTTCGTTTGAATGCTTAACATGTTCATGTTGCTTCCTTGATGTGATGATCATATGATGTGCTTGCTTGTATCATGTTAATGATTAATTGTTGATAATTATCTTGCTAGACTTGTGATGCACGATAGTATTCACTTTTGATTATGTTTGTCGCATGATTGTTTAATTGTGTAATTGATGTATAAAGCATGTTGATATTGTTGATTCTTGAGGATGCAATATTATTGAACTTTGGTGTTTGATTGTTGATGCATGTCCATTCTTTCATGATAATTATTCATCATTGATGCTTGCTCATATTGATTGCATTGATACATGCTTGTTGTCCTGCTTTATATAGTTGTCTTATTATGAATTTAGACATTGTCTTTGCGATGCTTGCTTGCTTGCTTCCCTTTTACACCTACTTTTGTGTTAAACTAGTAGCTGTTAAATGTTGTTGTGCTGCCTTGTTGGATTTCATTGTTGTTTTGTGCAGGAAGCGCTTTTGTAGCTGCTATTTTAACCTTGTTTTCTTGCTTTTTGCCTTGCCTTTGCATGCTCCCTTAGGATTCCTATTCCAATTTAATTTCCGATTAAATTTTGGATTAGGATAGACATTAAGAGTGTAATCCATGCATGATAACAAGTAGGCTAGTCCCTTTTAACCATAACCTTAGGTCCATATTTTGCATGATAACATTAGGATAGAATTCCCTTTTGCATCTCGACCTTAGGACCACTTTGCATGAGAATGTTAGGACCGAGTTTCCCTTAGACCTTCCGTGCGCACTTCTCTCTTCTCATCTCATAACAATTCTAACACACTTAATAAAGCCGATGAACGTTATACGCCACGGGCCTTAAGTATATGGGAAATGATGAGGGAGGGGTCTCCTCTCGCTTGTCTAGAGTGTTTAGCATATGTCTCATTTGGGGGCGATATGTGACACATTCGTTCCTATATCATAGTGTTTAGTGCAACGTGAATCACAAAGCAACGTAATTCACTTCACTAAAACTCACAAACAAAAGTCAAACCTTTTCATCCTTCACAATTTGTGTTGCAAACTCATTTTCAGAAAGAGTATGTTACTTTTCCGTTCTATCATAAACAGGCATCGACCCTAACTGCTGGAATGAGGACTTAACGTCACTCATAAAAAACACTTAACTAATCTGTGGTTTCGTAGTTAGCCGAACTACGTTTGCTCTAATTTTTCATACCATATAAGGATACGTAGGCACAAGACGACGATGTCTTAGCGAGCAACGTTTCCCCCATCACCTGTATTTTTTCGAACTACGTTGACTCTGACTTTCCCATTGCACGAGAGAATACGTAGGAATATGACGGTGATGTCCTATCAAGTCTATTTCTTTTTCTTTGTTCTCGTTCCCATTTATCAGTAGTTTATAAAAAACATACCCTTTTATTAGACAACAAGCATGGATCCCGTTGAGTACAACGGACGTGAGGGGTGTTCATACCTTCCCCTTGCGTAACCGACTCCCGAACCCAAGATTTGCTTGCGATGACCTTGTCTTTTCCCGTTCTTTAGGTTTTCTTTGATCGTTTCCTTTCCCTCTCTTTGGGATAAATAACGTTCAATGGCGACTCTTCTATTTTTCTGTCGAGTGTTTTTCGCAGTTGCGACACTCCCCCATCAAGAAACACATATTTTAAGTGAGAGGGCAACAACTTCAACTAAAGTTTGGATTCTTCATTTTTTTTCTTTTTTCAAAATTTACACTCGCTCTTCCAATGGAGGATATTCTTCCAACTCTTCAAGTTCTCGCAAACACTTCTCAATTTCTTTTTCATCATTCTCATTGAGACTTTGGAGAGCATTAGTAAGAACTCTATTTCACTTTTAAAACTCTTCTGAATTATTGCTGTTTGTCCCGGTTTTTGCTCAGATTCTTCTTGATTGCGTACCTGAACCTAAAAATAATGGAAATACCAAACCAATGCATAAAATGCGATAAAACGAAATAAAATGTGTAATACGCCAAATTTTGCCCTATGATTAGTAGGTTCATTTCGCATCCCATTTCGTTTCACATCGCGCTTTAGCTAACTGCTGACAGGTTTGTGTAGTTGGTGGATTTTGCAGGAAATAATCGCATGTATGCTCCTTAAAATATAAAGGACAAAATGGCCAGGGATTGGAAGTTTGCTGACAATTTCTGGAGTTGAGTCGTCGAGTGGTTGGAGGTTTACGTCTCCAAGTCAGTTGATTCTGGAACAGTGAAATGTTGGTGCAAAGTAATTTGCAAGGTGATTTGTTTGAGCTCGGTTACGTCAGGTGTGAATCGTGCAATAGGACTAATTGCAAAGGTCGGGGGGAGAATGTCCTAGCTTAATCAAATAGATCTCGTGCAAGGAAATTAATTAGTTGATTTATTTGGATAAATGAATCGGAGGATGTTGGGTTCATTTGAATTTAACTGGACAAATCGGAATCAGATGAGTTTATTAGTATGGTTGCGGTCGTACTAATTTAGTCAAGCAAATTCATTTGAAGGGATTTGATCGGACGAATGAAGCAGACGAATTAATTGGGCGATTTTAATTGGATAAATTATCCGGTGAACTTAATCAGACAAGCTTAATCAGTTGGGTTATCCGGAGAATTTGGTCGGATGTATTTCAACTAAAGGAGTTTATGGAAGGAGTTTAGTTGAGTAAATGTTAATTGGTCGAGTTTATGCGGAAATTTGAGCGGAAACGAATTCAATTATTAAGGAAAATAGAACTTATTCATTCTATATTTTCTTATTACATTATACAAAAATGAAAGCAATATCCCAAATCCAATGCAAAATCAGAGATAACATTTTGCAAGGTAATTATGAGCCAGCAAGCACGCCGATAGTTTTAATAATACAATGCTAAGCTAGTTTCCGCAACCAAGAAGTCCTCCTTGTAAGCATATGCTTGCATCCTGCTATTTAAACTCAATTCATTCTCGGAGGAAGGTTCCTATCTTCAGTTTCAGAAATTTGAAACTTCAACATCGATCCGTTTATTTCCCTATCGTTGTCACTGCCATTTGCTTATACCCAAACTGCAGCGTGAGTGTTCCAATCCATCTTCAGAGCTGGGACATTTGCGACTCATTCTCCTTTCGTTCATCAAAAACTGTAACCTTGTGACAGAATCAATGGTCGATCAAGAGGCATCCGTATTCACTAAAGTATCCTGAATCGCTGAAGTCAAAGAATGGTTGGCCAAAACCTTTGAAGTCACCGACAAACCTGTTCTGGAATTCCAATACACCCTGCGCAACATTTCTCATTTGCACCATCACCCTGCACTCCAAATCCATATACATCAAAGCTCCTCTATTACTTCCCATGAAAGTGTCTAGGAAGGTACTGCTTTGTCACATGCCAGTAATGTTGTTGAGTGAAGAAACCTGCATAGAAGACAATAAGCAATCAAATTTGATCATTCACAATGATAACAATAAAGATAAACAAGAACATAAGAAACTAAAAGCAGAGTACTATATCTCCTTCACTTCTTCATCCTTGCTCTCATCCTTGCTCCAGCAGCATTTAAGGGTAGACTTTGGAGATGCACATCCATCATTTCGAACAAAGGAACGGTAAACAACAGCACCACCTTGTCCAACAACTTCATTGCTCCTCTCTCCACAGTTGTATCCTTTAACTTCTAGAGGAAATTTGTCAAGATTTTCACCAGTCATATCAATGTGCAGAGCAATAGAAAACTCAGATGGGTAGAAACATGCTATAACCCTTTCAACAACTTCATTCAGAGATCTCTCTTCATACTCATAACCCACAGCTTCAAAGCTTGCATAACTAAATCCATATTCAGGTGTGACATGGATAGTTGATACTGTATTTCCTTCAATTCCATTCATCGAATACCCACATGGATCAAATTCAAAGTCACATATGTCATATTTTGGAAGGATCTTCCTGATTCCAGAATTCTTAGTCATCAAAGCTGCTGAAGACGTGCTTGTCTTGAAAAACACAGATGCTTTTTCCTTATCTAAACCAATCATGCACATTTCCAGGCCATAGACAGCTTCCGGTGAAGCTTCTAGTTTAGCACTAGCAGAGTAAATGTGTCGAATTTATGACTTATCGGCATCACCCATCGTGTAAGCTTTGCTACCCGAACCAAGGTTGCCAAGATAGCTGTCGAGAACAAGAATCTCCTCGAAAAAGCTACAATGAGGGAAAACAGAAACATAATCAAATGCGAGAAAGAAGAAGCGAACAATGTACATTAGATTCTTCTCTTACCATACTACTCCCTTGTTCCTTTACTCACCTAAGATTTTGAGATTGCTTCATCAGCAAAAACAGGGTGACACTCATGATTCTTCGGCTTCAACATACGTGGCTTTTCCAGCTGACAACTTGAATTCAAACTCGTTACACCAAATTGTCACCTGTTTGTATCCCGAAGTCTTGATGCTCTTGTGAGAATATTTGTCACAATCATTATTTCAATAGTGAGAATAATCAAAGGAGGAAGAAATATGAGGTGGTCGAAAAGTTACGCGGATTTGTTCATACCTCTTTAATCCTAACGAACTTGACAGAAACTATCATCAGCAAGCAGTAAGCGCAGCAAAGGGATTTTACATGATTCACAAAAACAGAAAGTTTCGAAGTCGAAATACTCGCGAAGACGTTGAATGGGGATTACCAGCCAGACCAAATAGAAGCGACAGAGAAAAACGCAAGCATCTCTAGTCCTAACCCTCAGCCGTAAAGGTCGCAACAATCATCCCAGATTTTTGCTCCAAGCAAATCAAACCGAAAGTCCTGGAAAATAGCAACAAACCCACCGTAAAAAAATCATAAAAGCGAATCGAATCCAGGCCCAACAATAGCTCAAAAGGGTTTTTACGTAGCAGTATAAAAGTATCCAAAAGAACCCTAAAGAAGGGAGAAAAAGGGGGATTCACAGCAAAGAGTAATTGACGACAACAATAGGCACGACAACGTACTGGATTAACCTCTCGCCGCCGGTAAGATGACTTTTAATTTCACAACTTGTTCCATTTCAAGGTTTTCTTTTGTTTGCATTTGAAAGGGTAACAGTTCATCGAAGAATGGCCGTGAGACACTTCCGTCGTCGCCATACGTTGGGCCTTCTGCTATGGGTGGGAGAGACTTGTAGTTGCACGGACAGTTTGGATTTGAAGGAGATGAACTCCGACCGGAAGAGGGTGCCGCCGACGAGCAAGAATAAGAAGGAGAGGGTTGTTGAAACCTGGGAATGATGGTTCAGCGGGAATCCACGTCCTCCCTTTGTTTTTTCATTCGTTTTTTCTTTTCGTTTTATATTTTATATTTTATTAACTCAGTAGGATTAGGATTAATTAAACCATGATTAGGCCTAAAACATTTCTGTAATTAAAACTTTGAAGTTAAACTCTTTTTTTTAAATAGTCAAATTCCTTCATTAAAAACAGTAAAGTTAAAACATTTTTCAATAAAATTAAAATCAATTTCCTTAATAAAATTAACACATAATTTTTCTTAAAATAAAACCTTAAAATAAAAACATTTTCTTTATTTAAATTAAAACATTTTTTTAAAAATAAAAACATCAAATTAGCATAATTTCTCCTTCAATTAACCTTTCTTTTAACAAAAATGCAAAAATATAAGTTTTTGTTTTGGCCGTTTCACTTTCGTCTAACCCTCACTAATTTGTTTGTTTCGTCTTATTATTATTTCATTGGTTGGTTTTTGTTCCATGGGTGTAATTTACGCGAGGCCATGGTCGCGGTTTATTTTATTTTGCATTTTATGGGGATTTGTAATTTACGCGAGTGATCGTCGTGACGCTTTCTTTACTTTCCGCATTTTAATTCTGTCGTACGATATTTTGCCATGTTTGCATGTTTTACCGTTATTTTCCCTTCCGAAGGAATTAGGTCTAGCCGTTTGACCACCGAGTCAATAGTCCTAACCTTGACCATTTCCAAACCCTACTAGCCTAGGTGTCTCGCCGTGGACGAAAATGCCCTTTACCCTAGCATTAGGTCAAAGAGTCGCCGTACTCTGTTTTTAGGGTTTCCCGCCGTGGAACATTTAGTCAACCCTAATTTAACCCTAATTTTCAGTTACAAATTCAACGTAGAAATAGGAGTTCCAAAACTCCACGTAAACGGTTCCTTAAGAAACGTTTACTCCCCTTGAAACCTTGACCACAGTCAAGAAGTTTCTAACCTCCCTTTCAAGGGGAACTACGATTACTCTGATTCCACTCCCTTTCCATGATACGTAGGCACACGATACGAATCTTGCCGAGTAAACTTAGGACTAACCCTTAGGTCTTTTAGGTCACTCTATCCCTTAGTTCAATATATATTTCAAACAGATAATAAAATAAAAAAAAAGGCATACTTTAAACAAAAGGTTCCTGTAGAGTACTACAGAAGTTTAGGGTGCTAGTACCTTCCCTAAGCCTAACCAACCCCTTACCCAGGTCTCTCCCCGCATTGTGTTTACGATGCAAAAATAAGTTTTCCCTCTTTTTACCTTTTCCTTCGGATAAATCAAAGTTTGTTGTGAATTAAGAATTGTGTTTCAAACTAATTAATAGTTTGATATCCTATTTCCACCGCAACAAAATGTAACTAAACACATAAGACAATTAATTAAAACTCATGGTAAAATAACGTATAAAAATCGCTGATCAAACTTCCCCAAACTTAAACTGTTGCTTGACTTCAAGCAACAAGTTTGGATAAAAACTTTTTAGATCAAACGGTATATATCAAACAAAAAACTTGTGAATGTAAGGTGTGTTGATACTCATACGTGAGCCCTTGTTCTGATCGGCCAAAACTAATTCTCTTGGTAATCTTCTGTTAACGAAGGTATTACACAAACACATACCGCGGTAAAACCATATACCTAAATCCCTCTTTCGGTCACGTCTCCAAATATGCTTTGGGCTTAAGTATTTTCTTCGATTTTCTATCCCTTTCATTTGGATAATCAGATTAAGGCACTTTTGATCGCTTTCCCTCACATGTATAAGATTGGATCGAGACTTTTTCAAGGCACCTTTATTGTTCTTTTTTTCTCTCGCGCATTGGCGTTTATTAGTCCACTTTGGGACGACTATAAAGATTCCACCATCGTTAGGCTAAATAACCGGGCGAGAGTTACCCAACTTAGAAGGATCAGTTGTCTTTACCGTCATTATTCATCATTTTTTATTTTGGTGCCATAAGTCATTTTCTCAATCAACTTTATCCATGTGATTCTTTTTAATCATGTTGGACCATCACTATAAACTAATCAAGGAATACTTCTCAAATCCAAGTAATATGGCACAAATTTACACGTTGGACTCGTTACCTTACTTCGGGGAACCTAGATTGTTCATGTTATACCTCAATTTTCAAACTTTCATAACTTCCATAGTTTCAACTTTTCTTTCCTCAAACTCTATATACTTTCCTGACTACTTCAGGCATCACAGTATTTACAAGATAAAAAAATTTACGGTCCTTATTCGGGGAGAGTTCACAGCGATTTTTAAACAACAGAACCCAAACACAATTAAAAGGTACTTAAAATGAAAACTCAAAACAATAAAAACTCCCCCAAACGTGAGCTAAACATTGTCCTCAATTTTTTAGAACAGAAGTAGGAAAGATGTACTCACAGAGGTCCTTACTAAGGAGTTGGAGGGTCATGCAACACTCTAGCTTCCCTTTGTAAGGTCTCGTTTATTACTTGCAATCAAAGCAAAATAACAACAAAAATAAAATGCAAAATTGTTAAAAACGTGGGTTGCCTCCCACGCAGCTCTTCGTTTAACGTCACATGGCTCGACGGATCATGCTCTGTTAAGGTGGCATATATGAAACAACGAACACATCATCTTTTTTCTTTCTTTTGTTTCGTAGCAATCCCATGAACTTGAGGTCTTGATAATGTTGCTTCCACATCAGTTTCAGTGTGATTTTTGTGAACAAGGCATAAATGAAATCCAATACTTTGTCAATTTCTTGTCTTTCCTCTGCCTTGTTAAAATGATTTTTAGGGATACTATTTTTTTGAAGATTTCCTTGTTGGATGTCTACATCTATACAATTTTTTACATCTGTATTTTCATCCAGCACTAGATCATCTTCAAGTTGCCTTCTTTCTTCTTCCCCATATTTCTTGTTTACCTTAGATTCTTCTATTTCTAATTCTTCTTCTTCTTCTTCTGACGTCATGCTTTGTTCTTCTTCTTTCACACATTCTTCTTCCAACCTAAACTCTCGCCAAATAAATTTATCTGAATAAAAGTTAGCTTCCTTATATTCATTCATAAGGATTCTTACCTCCCTCCGATATGCTTTAAAAATTTTGGTCGCCTCTTCCAAAGTGATTCCCGAATCAGGCGACCAACATGCAGGAGATACAGGTGGCAATGTATAAAAAACATTCATAACTACACAACTCATAAACTTTATTAGTCGCATAGTATAGAAGAATTCATGAAGCAAAAATAATCTGATTTTTTTTATATAAAATAAAAATAAAAATAAAAATTAAAGTAAGAATAAATTTTAGTTGCGGAGCAACAAAGTTTTAACTAAAATAAAACTATACAATCTATGATCTTTAGTGTTCCCTGGAAACGGCGCCAAAAACTTGATCGGTAAAATAGCAAGTGTATTATTTTGCCAATGTAGTAATAAAAGGGAATTTTCCCGAATGTCGATCTTAAGGACTGCTTGACGATATAGAGTTCTGGTTTTATTTTAGTTAAACAAAAGCTTTGGGGTTTTAAAATTGTTTTTGTTTAATTATAAAAATATTTTCAAGGAAAAGGGAAAATTGACTAATTGGTTTAAACAAATATGAGTAACCTGCTAGGGAAGGCGTATGATCTGACTCAGTAACAACTCTGAATTAACATGCAACGACTTATTATAACTACTTAATTACCGATTCTTTAGAATGTTTACTCCTAAGTCCTTAGTGAGAAAACATTTAATCGTCTATCCTAATTCCTACGTCCATAGAGAATTATAAGTGT